GGTAGACGGTGTTTTGGCATGCGTAGCACATGACCGAGCCATCGCAGTCGATGGTGTTGGATGGTTTCCCGGATTGAGGGGCCTGCAGCACAACCAAATGCCCGTTTTCTAATCGCCTCGTTGCTGATACGCTGACGCCATCCGAAACCAGCCACGCTTCTGAGGCATCGGTGGTCGAAAACCTGAAGACGCCTCACATCATCTACCCGAAGAGGCCATGTCTCGCACCCATACAACAACACAGCCCTTACTGTAGCCTGGTACACACGACCCTTAATATCCAGTGAGATGCCTTTTTGACGCCACAAGTGACGCGAATTAGCAAACGTGATTCGAGCCTTTGAGATTCTTGCACTGACTTCATCAGAGCTCCGTCAGAGCTAATACAACTACCGAGGTATGTAAAGTTTTCCACAATCTCGTGGTTCTCCTTGAATTGTAAGGGAGATGTTCGCAGATGGCACGTTCTGAAACAGGACTTTGCACTTTGAAGGTGCAAGGCGCATGCCAAGTGATGGTATGATGGCGGTCAGTTTATTCAACAGGGCTTGTGCTTCGCTATGGTCTTCAAAGATGATATCTTCAAAGAGATGTCAAAAATATCTCTCACTGAATACTCGTTCACATTCGCCTACTGCACAAACGCCAGTTATTTAATTACCTCGCTACGAATTTGTGGATGCCACTTGACATTAAAACGCCTGTGGAGTATCGGTGGTCAAAAACCTGAATACACGTCACATCATCTGTCCGAGCAGGCCATGTTTCACAAACAAAACAATACAGCTCTTAATGTAGTCTGGTAAACGCTACCCTTGGGACTCAGTGATGTACCCTTTTGACGCAAATTAGCAAACACGATTCGGACCTTTGAAGTTTGAGCACCCACTTCATCCGTCAAAGCTAGTAAAACTACTGGGGTACGTGAAATTCTCCACAACCTCCGGGGATTCCCCTTGAATTGTAATGGATATGGTCAGGGACTACATGTTCTGAAGCATGAGTTCACACTCTGAAGGTGCAAGGCCCATGTCGAAAGATGATATGATGGTGGTCGGTTTATTCAACAGGGTTTGTGCTTCGCCACTGTCTTCAGAAATGAAGACTATATCATCTGCGTACTCCAGATCGATGAGGTTCTCACCAGCAGCAATTTAAATACCGGGGCTTTGAAGACCTTCCAGCGTTCGCCTCATTATTTCGTCACCGGCGAATAACAACAAGAAGAGTGGATATCGTTTCCGGAGGCGGATATTGTAGGGAGGGTTTCAGGAAGCTAATCATACATTCTCACACGCCCAGAAGTATGTGAACATGGGGAACTGATTCTGTTCAAACCTCTGGGATACCCTGTTGAAATAGTGTGGTTAACAGCATTGGCCGATCGACAAAATCCAACGCACATTGAAGTCAAGACATGTCTAGATTGTGGGTCTTCTATACATATGGCGTTGCTCTAACACCTGACGGAGTGTGAAGATGCGTCAACGCAGTCGAAACCTCGCTTGATGCCCACGGATCAAGGATTCGCATGCCGCCGTAAGACGAAGAAGAACCAGTAACGCCAGAAGCCTTGTTACATTGGGGGTCAAACTATGATATCCACAGTTACTGTATTAACTGCGAGTACCCTTTGTCGACTCGCCCCAGTTTTCTGGGACGGTCTCCTTTTACCGTGTAGACGTAAATGGACTAGGCGAGCACTGGTTGGGGGATCCGTCGTCGTTGTTGAACAGAACAGGTTGTCAGGATCAGATAGAGATTGGGTGAAGATATACATTCGAACACGTTTGAAGGGGGCTCCGTTTTTATGACCCATTTTTAGCTGAAAGATAACAGCCCACATTGGAGGAAGCAGGTGGCCGAACGTGGCTGGTTGTTGGAGGTAATTTGCCCAGCGGGCCACAAGC